ATAGCCAATAGAATTCTTTCTATACTAGCTATTTGGGAACTATTGAAGATGGCCTAAGGTGATTTGTATCAATAGTGCGGCTAGACCAGATACCATTATACTTTTGTGTCGTGGTTATATTTTGTATTTTAATCTTAGTGTAGCTCAACTGGTTGGGTTCTTTGTGGTGAGATCTATCCACTGGGTTTAAGTTCTCGACTTAACATGGATACTCACATTTTCCCAGGTTAATTTAACAGCAATATTTTTTCAGTGGTAGACGACGTATCTATTGGCAATAAGACATTTATGGTGATTTTGTCAATGTAAAGATTTACCGATGTAGTCTCAATCTACCTGTTATGCTCATAGAAATATAGTGTGTGCACGCTCGTTTAGAGGGGATGAGTGTACTTGCATGTATAAGTATAAGTATCAGCGTCTATACTTACACTTTATATAATATAATCGAGGAATATTATTACTAACAATGTTTTTCTATAATACACACAAGCCATTCGCATCGTCTCATTTTGGTAGGTGAAACTCGCTCTATTCGTTTGAACTTATCAACCATGGTACAATATTTTTCTCCTATAATAAAATAATATCAACCGCAAAAACCATCAGCTGAACAACTTTATATTACACGATGATAGCGTTCGGGAGATTACAGACCTGGCAGCCCAGAATTCATCCGAACCGTCAAACTTGGGCCTTGTTTAGATGCCATCTAAATTCCAAGTTTTTTCACTTTCTCTCCATCACATCAATTTTTAGCCACTTGCATGGAGTATTAAATGTAGGTAAAAAAATAACTAATTACACAGTTTAGTTGGAAATCACGAGATGAATCTTTTGAGCCTAGTTGGTTCACGATTGGACAATATTTGCCAAATAAGACGAAAGTGGTACTATTCATCGGGTTCACTTTTTTTGCAAAGTGAACGAGGCCTTGGTTGTCTCCTTGCTGAGTAATATAGACCTGGCAGCCCAAAAAATCTGATGCTTCCATCTCTTTCTCCCCGCCAAAGATAGGAGTGATTGAGCACTTGGCAAGGTTAGGGATGTTTGATTGATGGACTAAAGTTTAGGAGGTGTCACATTAGGGTGTCGCATGAGGTGTTCGGGTACTAATAAAAAATTAAATTACAGAATCCGTCGGTAATCCGTGTGGGGGTATGGCCCCCGGTATCCTCAAGACAAGACATGGGCCGCACCATCAGAGGTGGCCCGGCCCATAAGACGAGGCGTGCACGGCAAGAATACAAGTTGTACTAGATATTATAATAGTACCAAATAGGATACTTTACTTGTAACCTTGTCCCTCTGGAGTATATAAGGAGGGGCAAGGGTCCCCCTAGAAGACAGATCAGACAGATCATAACAGATCTCCAACATACCTTAATCAATACAGAATAATGAGACACATGACGTAGGTATTACGCCTTCTCGGCGGCCGAACCTGGATAAAACCTCGTGTGTCTTGCGTCACCATCTGGTTTCTAATTACACGCACCGTCTACCGACAATCTACCATCATGGGCATACCCCTAGATGGACTGCCGACCATATTTCGTCGACAGTGGCGCGCCAGGTAGAGGTCCCCTTTAGGGGGTGTGCGCGCTGATTATGGTGAACCAGATGGCGTACCTCAAGATCTACGTCGTTCGTGGGAACTCGGCGGATCACAGCGACAAGCTTCGGCAACCAGAGCATCGGCTTTTCTCGCTGCGCCACGCGACGTGATTCACGGCGATATCTTGCAGCGTCCCAACAGATGCCAAATCCGAATTGGCAAGCGTTATAGCTGATTTCCGGGCACGACACGAAGGGCAGCCGCCAACAGCGCCGCCACGGCAGTTATCCTTCACACCAGATCTAATCTAAAGCCAAGAAGCAAAATCAGAGCACAAGTCGGTCTCCAATCTGCAATGTCGTCTCCGTCTCCAATACAGCACCACAAGAATTTCCAAGTCAAGGTTTTCACGTTCAAGGCGTTATTCCCTTATTACGAGCAAACAGGAAGCAAGCAGGGACAAGGCATATATGGATATATGCATGCATCGTATATGGGTATATGCATGCAAGCGTCATGGCCATGCAAGCAATCAGGAGCTACACGTATTCATGTTCATGCATATACGTTGCATATTCGGCCGCGCCTCTTGCTCACTCGTGGCGATGCTCGGCAACCTCGTGGACTACGACATCAGATCAACACGAGGCAAAGCAGGCAAGGATGTACGACAACATTACCATGAAGCCGACGCAAGCAAGCAAGGCCAAGTATGCATGCATATACGCGTGCCATATAGCTCTACGTCAATTTCCAAGAGCCAAGCTTGATCAACACACAAGCCAACGACGACGACGAGTACTCCAGCAGCGGCAAAGGCTGCTCCTACTGCTCCTACACCATCGCCGACCACCGAACTGCTCGAGCAGCCACGTCGACCACGGACCACGTCGACCATGTCCCAAGCGGCTCCGTTGAGCTCCGACCACGTCGACCATGTCTCGAGCGGCTCTGCCGAGCTCCGACCACATCGACCACGTCTCGAGCGGCTCCGCCGAGCTTCGACCACATCGACCACGTCCCGAGCGGCTTTGCCAAGCTTCGACGACCTCGACCACCAGACCACGTCGCAATGATGATCGCCACAAAGAATGGCGCTATGACAACCGCGACCACTGTCACAACAGGCCGAAAAGCTCGAGGACCGGACAACTTCATCACCGCCGACCAGATTTCTATCCAAAGATAAGTATACTTCTAATATTTATATTTAATATAATTTTTTATTACGACGTTTCTCCACAAACGTCCTCGTCATGATTATTCTTCAAATAACGTTTGCCCATGTATACAATCTTAAATATAACATACATCTATACTTAATGCAAATCCTCGACCAGTCATGTTGACGCTCGATGTCTCCAGAAAAGGCCCTGTCTCTGGCTCCTCTCTACACGTGCACGAGCGTCTGCTCTCTGCGTTATGGGTGGTCGGCAGCGGCTCCTTAGCGACGCTTTGTTCTTCCTACATGTGCACGGGCTCCGCGCCCCGCGTTATGGTTAACGGGCTAGCTAGGGCTGGAGACTCAACTACATACTAACTGGTCGGGCAGTTTATATTAAGTATAAACACAAACTTCACATTAACACTGATGTTTACAAAGCACCAACTGCTTTATCACATCATGCTCATTTGCAAATGACTGCTGAGCGTTATTTCTTCACCACTGATTTTTTCTCCATAATTTATTTTGTACATCATGTACTACCATTCTACATATTTATATCGCAGGAATTTCGAGCTATGCTCGGGGACTTCGTCGCTCGCTTCTCGACCTACGCTCGGGAACTGCCTCGATCACTCTCCGACCACAGCTCGGGGACTTCGTCGCTTGCTTCTCGACCTATGCTCGGGGACTGCCTCGATCACTCTCCAACCACAGCTCGGGGACTTCGTCGCTCGCTTCTCGACCTACGCTTGGGGACTGCCTCGATCACTCTCCGACCACAGCTCGGGGACTTCGTTGCTCGCTCCTCGACCTGTGCTCGGGGACTGCCTCGGCCACTCTCCGACCACAGCTCGGGGACATCGCATCTCGAGTACATGCGACTGGCGACTCGCATATAGTTGGGATATTTTTTCTCACTTAGACCTTGCTACAAGACTCATACCTCGCCTTCCAGCAAGCTCGGGGACTATATCAGTACGATGCACCTGCTGATGCATCTTGTATCGCATGTACGACGATTGGATTCTCAACTTAACTGGGAATTCTTTTTAGACTCTGACACCACGTGCCTACGTCACCTACTACCAGGCTTGGGGACTAAGTGGGCACACTTCACCTTGCGATGAATGTGCTCGCTCTGATGGTTCAAACACCTCCGATTCTACAAGGACGATGGTGTCTCTTTTTGACTCAGAGTCAAAGTGGGCACACTTCGAGGGAAATATTTTTCAAATTTTATCTTGAGCCCCTTACATCCTTCTGGCAAGCTCAAGACGACGCTACTCGAAGGATACAAGGCGCTCGGGGACTAGCTGTGGGGGTATGGCCCCCGGTATCCTCAAGACAAGACATGGGCCGCACCATCAGATGTAGCCCGACCCATAAGACGAGGCGTGCACGGCAAGAATACAAGTTGTACTAGATATTGTAATAGTACCAAATAGGATACTTTACTTGTAACCTTGTCCCTCTGAAGTATATAAGGAGGGGCAAGGGTCCCCCTAGAAGACAGATCAGACAGATCATAACAAATCTCCAACATACATTAATCAATACAGAATAATGAGATACAGGACGTAGGTATTACGCCTTCTCGGCGGCCGAACTTGGATAAAACCTCGTGTGTCTTACGTCACTATCTGGTTCCTGATTACACGCACCGTCTACCGACAATCTACCATTATGGGCATACCCCTAGATGAACTGTCCGATCATATTTCGTCGACAATCCGCGAGACGTATTTATTAAGCTTAATTAATCCGTCATTAGCACATATTTACTGTAGCATCACATTGTCAAATCATGGACTATAGGCTTAAAAAATTCGTCTCACAAAACAGTCTCAATCTGTGCATTTAGTTTCGTAAATAGTCCATATTTAATATTCTATGCATGTGTCAAAACAAATGGAACAACCACTAAGGTTTAGGAGGTGGAAAAAAAAATGCGTAGGATGTCCTCGATTGCCGTGGCCTCATTTATATCTGGCTTTATTACTATCAGTTCTTGCAGTATATTTTGTTTGACCCGAAATTTGAATCACAGCCTCATCCCATCATGGGCAATCCATTCGAAACAAAAGCACCCAAAAAGAATGAGCATAGTTTTGAGTTTGAAGGCAACATTTCAGAGCATATTTTATAAAATCGACCAAGTTTTTTTTGCCTTCAAGTCATAAACACTCTCGCACCGAAGACGAATCAACAGTATCTTGACAACCGCAGAGCTACCTAGCACATCTGTTCTGCCTCTGCAGCAGGACGATCGACTAGCTAGCCGAACTTGTTCCCAATGTCAGTGGCCTCGAGCTCGCCTTCCAGATGCAGCATCTTGCGCCCTATTCATTTGATTTGTTTGGCTTATAAGTCATGGCTGAAAGTATTATTGGTTAGTTTAGTATGAGAGAAAAATACTGTTCGTGGCCACTTGCAGTACAGGACCTCCTCGATGACGCCGTCGTCGTACTCGTGCAGGTGGCTCCTCACGTTCCTGTTGAGCCGCAGCAGGTCGGACTGCGTCCTCCTGTACTCGTGCTGCACGTTCACCACCCACTGGTTGATCCGCGCGTTCGCCCTCGCCGTCTCCAGGCAGTCGCTCTCGTAGGGCAGCCCGGCGAGGATCCTCCTCTTCTTCGCCCGGTCCGTCCGGCCGAGGTACTTCACGATCCTGTCGTGCAGCATCAGGAACGCCTCCGTGCTGCAGACAGATCACACAAGTGATAACAGAAATGAGTCTGTTTTTTTTTCAAAGAAAAAAAGTTCTTTTTTTTTTGTTCAAAATGACAGTCGCCAGAAACAGAAATGTCACCGGTTTTTCATGGGCAGCAGCGCGGCGTTGTTGACGATCAGGAACTCGTCCTCCATGGCGAGGGTGTCACTCCCCAGGAGCGCGAGGAACTCCCTGTAGTCCGGCGGCAGCCTGGCGATGGCGACTTCCCCACCGGAGGAGACTCTTTGGATCGCCTGCAGGACCCTGGAGAGGTGCCTGTAGTCATCTCTCACGCGCTCGCTGCCGAAGCCCTTGGCGGTGAAGCTGACCCCGCGTAGCTTGACGACGCTGCCGCCGGTGCTCCCGATCCAGACGTTGGACACCTGCAGCGGGGCGGCCAGGTGCTTGCCAACGGCGTGGTGGCTCCTCAGGGCACTCCAAACGAAAGAAATGGGTAGTTTCTATACCATATAATACCGCATTAAAAAAGTACTGATTTTCAACCTATGTTTTTATGAATAATAATTATTTTCTTTTTTTCTCTCTCAACTGTATCTTGTTCCTCCAACAGGAGTGCGGCACGAGTCCCCTAAAAACTAGTGGTTTCTCTTCAATAGCGATTTTATGGTTTCTTGGTGCATTGGGTCAAGAGAAGACCTGGTTTCTTCACGAAGAAACCATTTCTATGATTTTTCTCTCTTTCTTCATTAACTACGTTGCCATGTCAATATTTTACCTACGTAACAAGTCATTTAATAAGGATAGAAATCATCATCAATACACCGTTGAAACTGCCCTTGCGATCAGCACGAGCTTCTGGGTGATCCTCGTGGCCTTGTCGGAGAGCCGCCAGAACTTCTTGGCTGCTGTTCCCAGCACGGGGACCTGGACCAGCAGCGGGTTCGCCTTGGCGTAGCTCTTGGCGCTGCACAGGCCCTCCGCAGACGACTCGTCGATGTCATCCGTGCTGTGTGTGGACATGGATAGATAGACAGCAAAATGAGCTAGCCAATGCTACTCTGAAGTCTGAATCAATCGATGGAGCAGGAAGCAACAAAGAGCAGAGCATCATATCTCACTTGGATTGATGCTGAGGGTCCACCACTCCGCTGTCACGAACCCCATTGCTCCTCTGCTGGTGTCCAGTGTTTGGATCGGCAGCCTCCCGAAAATACCCAATCGCCACTCAAACATTCAAGTGAAAAGATTGTAACCACTGCGATGCTCTGTGCTCAGTCACAAACTCACACAGATGGGTAGAGGAGGATCCTAATCAGTTTCTTCTCGACAAAGAACGATCTGTTGTGTTATTTTTTTACTGTGAACTAAATGTCAGTGTTGATTGCGGAGATCTAAACATGTTTTCAAGCATTTGGCAATAAGAACACAGTTGTCGATGTTTTGAGTAACCACCGACGAGTAAATTTCTATAATTTCACGTTTGGCTCGGATGATGTGTTTAGAGGACACGAGGTTTATACTGGTTCGGGCAGAATATTCCTACGTCCAGTTCGTCGCAGCCGGTCGTGTTACTAGCACTGAAAGTTTACAGTAGGGGTTACAAACGGACGAAAGAGGAATATGTCCCAAGTCTCTAGTGAAAGAAGTGAAAGGGTGCTGAGTGCTCGGTTGCTGCCCTCGTGTGTATATGGATCTAATTGGTTCGGGGTGAGTCAATGGGTTCGTGATAGTTCGATCGGATGTCGGTGGGTTGATTCCCTGCCCCTCATGGGATGCCCTATTTTTCCTTTTATAGACCAAAGGAAAGCACGGATTACAGTGGAGGGGAAGAGAAGAACTAGAGAGAGCCGAATGCCTTCAGGATCGCCGGGTCCTTCTTCTCCTTCATGCGGATCCCGCCGACCCGGTAGATGTCAACAGGGACGGCGCCACGTCGCAGCCCTGTCCGTCACTGGCGCCATGCGCAGGCATCGTCTGTCGGTCATGGCGCTCCACTCCATCCTGGCGGTCGTCGTGGTGAACTGACGTGCCTGTTAGTGTTCGTACGAGGGTTAGGCAGAACAACACCGATACGCCCGATGCTGTTTTTAATGTGAATGCTCAGGTATGGCCTCGTCGTGGCCGTGGGTTACATCGAGGCATGCCAGTCTCTTCCCTGGTGTCAGAGTTTTGACCCAGGCTCATACACCTGGACCTGAAGTGGTTGGCGGCGGTATGGGACCCCGTTAGGCGAGACGGAGCCCATACCGGAGGGGACGGGCGAGGCGGAGCGCAAACCCAAGGATCGGGCGAGGCGGAGCCCGCCCCTAGAGGTCGGGTGAGGCCGAGCCTGCGGCCTTTGGGTCAGGCGAGGCAGAGCCCACGACCTTGGGGTCGGGCGAGGCGGAGCCCGCGGTCTTGGTGTCGGGTGAGGCGGAGTCCGTCCCCAGAGGCTCCCCAGAGGTCGGTTGAGGCAGAGCCCGCGCACCTAGGGACCGGTTGGAGCCGTAGTCGTGCTCTTTATTTCTCGGATGAATCAATGTTGATGGTCATTGGCTCATCCTCTTCGGGTACCCTAATATTGGTTCCCGACAGTAGCCCCCGAGCCTACGGAGGAGTAGAATACTCCTTCGGAGCCTTTTCCGAACAGGAGGACTCTGAGGGCCTTAGCCTTCTTTTGTCGCCCACGGCATGACCTGGGGACGGTGATTCCCTTTCGTCGAGATCGGACCCCTCGGAGGTATTGCCGTGAGTTTTGGTGGGTCAGAAATGGTCTTTCTTAATTTCGACCCCTACGGGGGTCTGTTGTTCTGTGACCGTGCGTTCGGTCTTTGTGCCCGGCCAACTTTCCTCGAGCCCCCGCCTGTAGCAGGGGTCCGGTCGAGGATCGACTTGTCTTTGCGATTGTCTTCCCTCAAGCATTTTTCCTGATAAAAACAGAGGGGCCGAGCCGTGTCATGATTTTCCTCTATGGACAAATCATGGTGCTCAGTAAGCTATTGATGGGCTAGTCCAAGCGGGGCCCTATCATCCCGTTCATGGGGATACAACTGGGTTAGCTTGCTCACCGACTCCAGATTCTCAGCGGTCAATCGATATAGTTCTCGGGTCTGTTCGACCGGTCCCGAGGGCTCTCTGCCTTTCTTCGAGGAAAAACCATGGATTGTATCTGGCCGAGACTCGAACGTGGGCTGAGATGCCCTCGATGCTCGTGTGCCCATGTTCTGGCCGCTGGCGGGCCCATCCCTTTCCATCCCTCACTCTAAGGGTGCCCGGAGCGGTTGTCGAACCCGTCGGTGGGCCAACCTTCGAACTCCTGGGCCTATATGGGCCGTAGGAGCGTTTTTAGCCCTATATCCCTTTTACCTGTGATGTTTCATGGTCCATTCGGGGAGGCGAAACGTTTGACTAGTTTTTCGAGGGAACGGAGATAGATTGCGTGTGCATGCCCCACGGCGAGACATGGTGGCAGGTCGTGGTAGGCGCGGAGAGCTAGGTGGGCGGTTGGTTTTCTCGCACCCGTTGCCCCTATAAAACCAAAGGGTTAGCCCCCCGGGTTTCATACCCACGCCTACATCCTTGCCTCCGTAGCCATGCCGCCGCCATCATCGCTTAGGTTTCCTACCTCCGCATCTCCGCCGCCGTCGAGCTCGCATCCATCCATCCCCATCTATAATGGATCCATGGTGCCATTCCGACATCACCTTCTAGCGTATGGAGTGCCTCATCCATTGCGGTCTTCTCTGCGCATGGACCTTGACCGAGGAGTGGCTGCTACTCGGTGACGAGGATTTGTCGTCGCCGCCCGACGGCTACGTGGTGTCATTGGCCCACTTTCACGAGCGGGGGCTCACGACCCCTACCCACAAATTCCTTTGAGGGCTACTGCACTACTACAAGATCGAGCTGTAGCATCTCAATCCCAATGGGATCCAGCATATGGCAGCGTTTGTCGCACTGTGCGAGAGATTCCTAGGGATCGGCCCCACTTCGACTTGTGGAGGCACTTCTTTGCCGTCAACCTCCAGAAGAAGAGGGAGAAAAGCGGTAGGCAGGAGCTACACATGCCGATGGGGTGCGCCAGCATCCAACTTTGGAACAATCGGGTTGGCGAGTACCCGTCCATGCGGCTCTCGACATCCAACATGGGGTGGCACTCGTAGTAGTTCTACCTCAAGAACAACGCCGCTGCCCCTCTACGAGAGTTCATCGGTCGCCTGATTGAAGAGGCCTTGAACAGTGGAGGAAGTGGGGTGTCCTAGAGAAGGACAAGAAGAAGATCCGAGACCACATCGCCGCCATCCACATCTTGAAGGAGAATGGCCTGAAGGGGTCAGGTGTCATTGGGCCTACCATGCAAGGAGGGTGGCATCGTTGATGACGCGTGAGCTCCCGCTATATGCAATGGCACCCGAGGCGTCGTTCGACAGAACGACGCTCACCGAGGGGACGCTACCTAACTCTGAGATCGCGCAACGCATCAAGGAGGCGACGGAGCCTCTGTGGGACGATGCGGGTGCCGCCCTCAACTTCGTTTACCCAGTGTTGTGGCATCCTCTGATGTGGTCGGAGCCAGGCTACGTCATCTTCGTAAGTTTTCCTGTCTCTTGCCTTCTCTTCAATTGATTTCCTAACCCCTTGATACTAACTTTGAGAGGGGTGGGACCAGTCGAGGGACCTCATCCTCATGGATCACCCGGCACCGTTGCCGAGGGATTCAGTCATGAGAACGACGAATCACGCTGAGGGCGAGCGGTTGAGGAAGGCGAATGAGGACAAGAAGAGGAAGAAGCAGCGAAAGTTGCTGGCACAGGAATGAGAGGACACTGATAGCGATGATGATGATGATGACAATGGTGACAACGACGAGGTAGCTAACGATATCTAGTGGGACAACCTATTGAACGGGGATGCAGTGATAGGTATTGGTTCATTCTTGCAGGCGTCGGGACCCTTCTTGTTCCATGGAAGGGAGGGTACGTTTGGGGAGCTGACGGAGACAGACCGTACCATCGGCCTGCCCTAGGAGCCAATAGAGGCGGATAGCTCTGCCGTCGTGCCCGAGGTGCTAGCGGAGGTGGGCGGCTCCGCCATCGCACCTGAAGAGCCAAGGGGAGCGAGCCCCTCTACCTAGGAGTGGGGGGTAGGCTTGAAACGGCCTCATTCCAACAAGGTGGAGCGAGGATGGGGGGTTCACCGCCCAAACGCATCTACCGCCCAACGACGCTGAGGTCAGTTATCACTTCATCTGTTTTTCCTGTTCTAGTTGGATTTTATCGTGACTTATGTTTTTTGTCCCTTGCAGCATCGGTAGACAGCGGAATCCTTTGGCGCTGGCACCGAAGAAGAGCATCGCCCTCCAATCAAGGTGATAGCCATCGCCTAGTGTCGCGCCCATTTTAGGTAGGAGCAGCACCAGTGTGACCACGTCGCCTACCAATCACGCGGTGGCGCCTGTTCCCTCGGTGGAACGGGCAGATGTGGATGCTCAAGGGGCGCCCTTGGAGGTTGCGGAGCAGATGGTGACGGCCGCAATACTGCTGCCGATGGCGGGAAGGATGGGGCTACTGACCGCGCTCGTGGCATTGACCATCGCGGGCGTGGTGTAGCCGGTCGTGACCCCGCCGATGCAAGAGGAGGTGGCGGCGGCCGTGATAGATGGGTCATAGCCGGGCGCGACCACAGTGGCGCCTGAGGCACTAGCATGACCCATGCCATTGGTGGCCCAAGCGACGGCGCCTGGTGTGGGCCGCATAGTGGGGGACGTGGTCAAGGGGTCGGTGATGCTTGGAGCCAGCGGAGAGTCATCCCTAGCCCTAACATCGGTGGGCAGTGGCTCGCCAGTGGGCGGATCCGTAGGATCCGTCGTCGATGCTTTTTACCTCGGACGACGCCGCAGAGAGCATAGAGCAGGAGAGCCTCAATGTAGGGATCGCGTTCGTGCTCGAAGCGCTGAACCACACTACGGGCGCATTGTGTGACGTCATCATTCCCTCCGGCTGGGTATTTTCTTGATCCTGCTTCTTGCCCTTATCTTCCTT